AATTTAAACATATAGATATTAAGTACAATAATTTGATCTCGTCGAAAACATTACTAGTTTCGGCTTCCAATTTGAGCCCTCCTCAGATGTGAGCGTAATACACAAAATAAATTAATCGAAAAAACAAGTAAAAATTCGCAAACTGAGGTATGTCTATGATTGTTTTCCATAATAATAAAAGAAATAATAAAAGAAGTATTTTTTCAGAGGGACGACAGAACCCATCAAGCGATTGGAAGATCGTTTGAGAAAGATCACCGTAGTTCTAAAGATAGAAAGCAAAAAAAATGTTTCTAATAAAATCGTAATCAAGACCAGAAAAGTCGTCTCTCTGTTAAAACACTCACCTCTCTGTGAAAATTATCAAAAAATCCATGTAGGTGAAATGTTCGTCAAGTTTTGGAATCAATGATGATAAAATAAAAAATATCACATCACAACGATGATGTCGATTATAAAAACTTATACAATTGATCACATTATAAGTGTATCTTGTCTGAGAATATAATCGGAATAAACGACATATCCACACGACGTGCGAAACTGTAATGCGAGTCTACTGGTAATGCAATGTCAGACCTTGTTTATGATCGGTATATGTGACTTATGAAGACCCTCTGTGTCTGTCTGTAAATTAAGACTGTTGTTTTGTTTTTTGATGTTCAACATTTCCGAAACCAAGCGTTTATTATAACAAGGTTCCTCGTCCAAGATTTGAATATCGTTCCAGTTGAAATCATGTCCCAATTGCAATCTATGTTCCGTGATCACAGATCTCGAGCTGGTATTCCACCGTATATGATTGCGATGTTCCGTGATTCTCGTTTTTAATCTTCTTCCCGTTTGCCCCACGTAGGAAGCATCACAGTCTTTATAATCTATCTTATACACAACATTAGACTTCGACAGAGAATCTATTCGATCTTTTTGAACCTTTATGTATTTGACAATTTATTAGCGCTAAAATACGATACCCTGATGTCGTTTCTGTTAAACTGCCTAAATTTTTCCGTAAGTACTGGAATGTACGGTACCGTAAACCACGAAGTGACCGTCCTTGATTCCTCGTCATCGATCGAAATATTCGTGTTAATTAATTTATTATGTCTGATAATTTTAATTCTATTATTAATACATTCAAAGATAAATTTAACCGGATAATCATTTTTAATTAATATGTCAATAATGAAATTTATATTTTTAGAATGAAATTGAAAATCTGATAAACATAATGCTCTATCAACTAAGTTAAATATAATGCCTCTCTTTTGAGAAATCGGTTGGTTTGAGAAAAAATTTAAAAATCTCCCCGAAAACGTGGGTTTATGATATCAATCGAAAGATAAAAAGTTGTTATTGATGCTAATCGAAATATCAAGAAAATTGAGAGAATTATCACCCACTTCCAATGTAAACTGTAGACGTTGATGAAACGAATTGAATGTATCAAGAAAGGAATCTATTTTAGTATCGTGAATAGCCGCGCATAAATCATCTACATATCGATAACAAAACAGGCAACTATCTTTGAACGACATCAAGGCTGATTCCTCCAGTCTTTGCATTACACAGTCAGCAACGATGGGAGACAATGGTGACCCCATGGGCGTGCCAAAATTTTGTTTAAAAATCACATTATCAAAATAAAAATAA